TCAAGTACGATTTACAGACTTTTTGTATATATAAGTATATATATATATATTGATCATTTTAAAAATTTCTTTGATATATATATGAATAATCATTATTACTGGCTAAAAACTGTTGCTGACTATTAACATAATAAAATCATGATAAATGCTGTTCAGTTTTTTTTTGGCTCGATGTAAAGACGTATTTGGTGATGATTTTTCACAACAAAATATCGACAAAAAAATAATGGAAACAAATGAATATTTCGGTGGTAATCAAAACTTTCATGTATGAAGTTTTTACTTATCAAATTTTGAATAATTTTTAATTAGCTGAAAATTTAAATCAAGTACACATTCGTTCACAGCTCTGCTAACTGATTTTGTCTATGATAATGCTACACTATCAATTACTTCAATATTTTAACTGAAGAATTATTGTTGAATAGAGGTTAAAGGATGAATTAAAGTTATAAATTTAGTTTATATTTTATTAATTTTATATTAATGGCGAAAAATTTCAAGGCAACTGATGTAATTCTGTCCAATGGATCAGATGACCCCTGGACACTATTAAGTGTCTACAATGGTAGTAGTGTTGCTGGCAATCATATCATTTTTATTGAAGGTTTGCCTTGTTGAATTATGAATGATTAGTTCAATAATCAGTTATTTGGTAATTGAAAAGCAAACGAAAGCAGTCTAAAAAGTAAAATTCTCACATACCAATTTCTCTTGCTGTGATAATTGTCAGAAATAAAAGTAAGTATAAGTAAACTTTCTATTTATATTTATATTTTTTGCTTTAAAATGAAATAAACATGGAATTGTGCACGTGAGTAAAAATAAACAGACATTTCGTTGAGCAAACAAAAACCAGAAAATTTTTTAGGTACAAGTCATGTGGCTGACTTTTACCCTCCAAGCACTACTGATTCAAATGCTCTAAGGTCAGCTCAGTATGGCATAATTCGAAAGATTGAACGAATCGTCTTGTAACTAATGATTTTAATGTGATTAGCAGAAATAAAGTTAATTATCTCTGCATTCTAATCAGTTAGCATTAAATAATATCAGCTGCATACCGATTCATCTATTTCTCTACCATTAAACTACTATTTAACTCATGCAAACACATTCCGTTATTTGTTTTAATTTCAGTTTGACTTACTTTATCTGAAGTAAACGTTTCTATTGACTTGACTACTAAATTTACTTCATCCATTATTACTTTTCTAAAAGATACTTATTAGCAATCATAATTAATAATCGTGATATAATAATTATAAAAGTATTTCACCACAAATACAATTATCGAGGAATTAAAGTGTCATTGCGTGATTTTAAGTAAAATTGCTCGGTTTTTTTCAAAGAATTATACGATTGAGTTCTGTTTAACAGTGGCTCTATGAATGCTTGCAGTGGTGGGCAAAGAGAACGCTTTGCACTGCAAGCTCAAAAATTGTTTACATTAATACCAAAAAAGCATGCATTTGTGCTTTCACTTCACTATCTGTTCCCTTATCAAAATTACCAAAAAGTCTTATTGTTCGATAGTTCAACGTTTTGCATACGTGAAACTAATATAGAGATCTCAAGCTTCTCTTGGATTCAAGTTTGCGAAGTCATATATCAGCCAAGAGACTGAAGTAAGCAACAAATTCGTCTCTCTTCTAGCCTTATGTGGAATTAATCATCTTTGAAATGCATTTATTTCATAGTTAAGCTTGTACCATCTGCTTTGCAAAGTTATGATTACGTACAGTTGAAAGTGTCTTCATTGTGGATAGTTATAATCAGTATAACTGATTATTAAAACACTCTAATCATACGTAATCATAACTTATACGTACGTGATGTGAATGTTTAATTTAGAAATAATGTATATTTGCCTGCACGAATTTGTTCTTTTTCTAGTTTCTTGCCTTCCATGATATTACTGCATTGACAGCCCCATAAATGTGCCTCACAAGCATTAAAATGAAAGTTCATCACCAAAAAAGCGCTTCTTCATGGCTTACATTACTCGGAAAATCATTGCCTTCATGGTCACAGCTAATGAATTATTCACTATGTTGTTTGATTTGAAGAAAATATCCTTTACAAAGCATTTCTGAAGTTGTCCACTTACAGACTTGCCATCCAAATTGAGTGTTGTACTGATTATGTGTTACTTACAGGAATAATTGCTTATTAGCATGGAAAATGCTAATAACAGTAATAATAACTATTTTTCTACCTGTATTTGATTGCATAGTTTACAGTGATAAGCATGTCAGAGTTACATAATTCGCATTGTGCTAAAGCTTAACAAACTAGAATACTTTTCAGAAATCAGTTAGTTGATTACTATGCTGAAAAAACCCCATACGCGCCGTCAGTCAACATGTGAAACGTCAATATATGAAAAAAACAAATGTAAGACAATGCACTTTTATTTATATAAAACGTTGATAATATGCAACGATGAGTTAACTTTGCATTGAAATGAATTAAATGCTTTAATGACTATAATTATTTTACAACGAATGCCAATAATGAATAAGACAACACAATGATATTATCTGCAATAATTAATTAACTGACGTAATATCCTGCAGTCATCAATTATACTTTAAGATAAATTAATCAAAGTTTAGAACTAATAAGTCTTAGAAGTTTTGATGATCGAATTACTTAATTACTAACAGACACAGACACAGATACACACACACACATGCATTCAGTAAGATTGAATATGTTACGGAAAAAACGAGTAAAAAGTTTATAGAGGCAAATTTGATTGTTAACCTTGAGATGACCTTGAAAACTAAAGAAGGAGTCACTTTTTGTAGCATCAGTATTAGATGGGTGTAGCAGAAGTAATCGAGCACTCTCAGTTGGCAGTCGACGACGAAAATCTCGGATACTTAGAGAAACTGACCTAACACCGCTGATGGCACTTTTCCAAGGTAAATCAAATATTCACTTTTTAGCTATAAAAATTAGCTACAATTTTTGCTTACAATAATGATTTTTTATTTAATTAATTCTGTATCCACGCATAGCATTGTCTACTGCAGTTGTTTATTCACGTAAAAAGTATTTTGTCTGAGAAAAGTAAATTTTTTTCATATTTTATACTTTGAACATTTAAATAATCACTTAATTCTGTTAATCATAATTTATTTCCATTCAACTTTCAATTATGCATCCATTCATCCCCCTATCTACCCGTCTATCCATCTATTTATTTATACGTTCACTTCCTCATTCATCATTCTTACCAAGCAACTGACACTAACAACATTCAAAGCAAATGCCCTTGCTGCAATGCATCTCCTCTCATTAATTTACTCTTTTGTTTTTTTGACGAAAACAATATCTTAATTTTGTTCTATTCTATTCTATCCCATTCTATCTTATTCTATTCTAACCTATCGCAACCCATTCCATTCTATCTTATTTTTCTCATTCTATTCTCTCTTATTGCACACTTCTCGCTACATTTTCTACATTTTCCACAACAATTCTCCCTCCATACATCTTTTCTAACAGTGTATTTTTTTAGCTATTGCATACATATTCAAAATATTATCCTCAGATCAAAATATTATCCTATGCTTATATTTTGTATTTATCACTCAGACATTGAAAAAGACTAAATTTCTGTATTTTGTACAATCACTCAGAGCCATGGCATTGCAAATAGTAAACTGGCACAAAAATCACTCTCGCTGTTTTACTTGCACAAAGTAAAACTACGTGTTGCTCAATTAATTAACCCTTCTGACACTGGCTTATCTCTCTCTTTCTGTCAAGGTAATGATCAAATCTGTTTCACAATTTTCTTAGACTTCTTTACTTCTCTTAGATCATTTTCTATTTAATTAAATTAGCCATATTATTTTCAGCGTATTTGTAGGAAAAGTTAGACATTAGACTGAGTAACTTCGTTATACTTATCAACTTTTTACGACTGCGTTGAGTAATTGTGCATCACTTCTACCCTTTCACTGCCAGTCAGTCACCCGTCCTACTGTGATTGAATGAATGAATGATTGAATGACTGGATGATTGAATGATTGAATGACTGGATGATTGAATGATTGAATGAATGACAATAATTCCTTTTTCTCAACTGCTACAAAATTCATTTATTTCAATCATTGTTTTATCAGAAATTTCTGTAATAAGTATGCAAAGTCATGCCAGTAGATAATTAAATTACTAATTTGATCCATTAATCTGCCTTATATTTATCAAAATCAATTCATAACTTTTTAACACATAAAACCAGCAATAAATTACAAAGGCCTATGGCTGGCTATAAATAGTAATAATAATAATAATTTTTTGTAATAGAATTAAAAAACAAAATTAGGATAAGTAATATCAATTATATCAATCAGGTTAATGTGTAGTTTCACTGGCAGTACATAAGCGGTAAAAATATGTGGTAATGCCAGAAAGTGAACAATCAAAATTATTAAACAAAAATAACACTAAGACTGCAAGGGGGAATAATAAATGGAAAGAATCATGCAAATGTTACTGTCAAGGTGGAAAACGAATTAGCTATCCATACGGTTGGACAGCTCCGTCTTCATCTACAATTACAACTACTACAGTATTCATTCAAAACGATTCTATCGGTTTGTTACTTCCTTCTCTTTCATCTCTTTCCTTATCTTCGCATATCTCAATCTTTCTTGTCTTATATTCATATCTCATTATTAATTACTCCTCATAAATCTAATAGCATATTCATTATTTCATTTAAATCTTATTACAGTATTCTATATTAAGTGTTAAATTTGTTAATTTCACGTCTTGCTACAAATTTATCAATAAAAACGTTTACGTAAACTTAATTAAGCTAAAAATTTGTACGTAAACTTTGTAAAAATAAAAGCAGTAATGAATTTTTTGCAGCAGAATCGCCACATTTAGAAAATCGTTCATCTCCATCACCATCATCAGTACCAAAGTCATCTCATATCGAACAAGTGTGCTATCAAACGGTTGCAGGCAAACATTTCGAAAGTCAAGTATCAGAAAGAAAGCAAAGTTTGTCCTACACACATTACTCATTCTATTCTAATACAGATTTTTAAGTTAATGCTCAAATGATTATCGCAACTCAGCCAAGGACCTCTCCTTTTACATTACATGCATGATATGAATTCAGAAAATTATACTAATTATTACACTTTGATACTATGCTATTTTACCCACTACATTTTTACGCGGGATTTAGAAATTTCGAAAAAAAACCCTCAATGCGTCTCAAATATTTTGTAATAATCTGAATTACAGAAATTTTAATGCCACAATCTTCCTGAATTTTTTTGTTCAAAAATTATAAATGTTTTTACGAAAACCAAAGTATATTGAAGTCAGTTAGCTGTAATACATAGTTTTATTTTCTTCACTGTGCAAATCATCAAAGTTTCTACGCAATCTCTCCATTCGTTACAAGTAAGAAATCTTATTTAGTTTCAATTTTGCTATTTTCAAGTAATGAATATCAGTAATAGACAATAGAAATCAAATCAAATTATAATTTGTTGTAATTTTTTGTTCTAGGTGTCTCAGCTCAGGTACTAAGTGCTCTTATTGGAAATCCTGGAGGCAGTGCATATAGTCGAATTATGGGTAAAGTTATGCGAGTTCTTGTAAGTTTGCAATCATAATTATCTCTTACAATATTTTATTTGATTAGTTTGATTACATGTCTTTTATGACTAGTCAGAGAGTAATTAAATTTTTGATTATCTCTTTGCACTTTTATTTTGTTTCTACTTGTTTTGAATTGTCGATTTCTTTCTGAAGAGATCGATTTGTTTGAAAGTAAAAAGAAAAAATAATGCCTGAAAATTCAGGAATCATAAAATGTTGCCAATAATCAGTCTTTCAGGTTGCTGGATCAAAGAAAGTAGGAAAAACTGCATGTTTAGAGCAACTTGCATGTTTGAATGATATTACTAATGAGGTATGTTTATGTTTGATCAGTATGAAGAGAATTAGCCTGAGAAGTTGAACAATTTTTGATCAGCAATTGTTTGTATTTTCTAGCCCTATGTGCCGACCATTGAAGACACTTATCAGGTGCAGATGGATTACGGTGACCGACCAAAAGAAATCATGGTTTTCCATGATACAGCTGGAATCAATGATAGCGGTCCAATTGAGCTTAAAAGACCATATATTCAGGTTACCATGTTTTTTGTTATCCTCGATTATATAGAGATTTTTTTAAAATCAATTTCTAATGCATTAATAATTGTATTGGTTTTTTTAAAATCAAATAATTAGAATTGTTTATTATTTTCCTACATTTCGTTCTTCTGAAATGCAGAATTAATTGCTCCTTTTTCAGTCGTGTAAAATTTAGCAATTAAATATAAATTTTCACTATAGGTCGCTGACGCATTCTTGTTGATGTATTCAGTTGTTGATCACGAAACGTTCAACAGAATGGATATGTTGAAAAAAACAATAGATAGACAGTTTAGAAAAGATAAAAAGGAGGTTGCTTTTTATTTGTAAAGATTTATATAGATATAAAGATTGCTGTCTTTTGAAAAATAAAAGAAATTTATTCTTTTTTTTTTAAATTAACACAACCTTTCAGGTACCGATTGTTGTTTTGGGAAACATGACTGATCTTCCAGGTAGAAAGGTTGATAGTGAATTTGCACAAAGTTGGGCTACCCAAGAAAAAGGTATTTATTTGTAGTAAATTTCATTGCAAGATTGTTTCTTAAGTTTCCATGTAATTGAATCTTGTTTTTTTGCCTAATGTTAGCACAGTTTTCTGCAATTTTATTTTAAACGACTAAGATTTCGGTATTTCTAGTAAAATTTTATGAAGTGACTGCTAAAGATCGAAACACGCTGGTTGATTTAGTGATATATTTGGGCAGTCGACATTTTCACTCACAAAGTAAGTTTTTCTCTTTTATTTTAACTCATACATATTGTTTTGTTAATTTCTTAAAGTTTTAATTTTTAGAGGAGTCAAAATTTTCTCTTTCCAAAAAGCTGAAGGCTGAAAAATCAAATGCTGCTATTATGATGGACTTGTAAAATTATCGTAAGGATTGTTAGATTTATTGAAGATGCGCTGAATTAATCCTCGTACCTTTGTTTCTATTTCAGTTGATAACTCGTTTTACCATGGTATTTTTTCCATTTTAATGATTATTTGTTTCATTGCCTTTTTATTCCATATTAACCTTTCGTTTTATTAGCTGCAGCCAAAAGAATAATTTTCTGTCATACTTATGTACATTAGAAGAATGCTCAAATCTTAAAACAGTGAATTTTTGTAAAGTACATTTGCATTTGCTCTATTTGTTTTCAAAATCTGAACTCATATTTTTTTTGCAAATATTGACTATAATCTTTTGCTTATGAGTATTTTCTTTTCATTTTTAATTTTATCTTATTCAAGCGATTTGTGAAGCTGAATATTGTTGACTCTTCGGGTGATTTCTCCTTCTAAAGTGCAATGAACTACAATCATGTGATGGTGTAAAAAAAGTGTTGAGCTGATTAATGAAGTCTTTCATAATCCTTTTTTTCTTAATTTGTGAATATAATTTGTTAGGAATTCACTATTTTTGTATATGATGGTTCCAATAAAGGTGTCAATAGATCGGGTTTCTCTTTTTGTTGATTTAGTTGGTGTGAATAGATGTTTCGATTTCATGTTTCTTCATACAATTCTTCACTTCTGTCATCGTGCACTGATAAACGATAAGTCTATCTATGTACAGTGTTTTGGATAAGATTGGAAAACTGAAAAACTTGCTGAGTAAAATAAGCGTGACTGTACAGTTTATTTTCTAGTAAAGTATTTCAAATAATGGGTTTTTTGTACTTTAATTAGAGTAGAAGAGCGGTTTTCTTTTGCACTGTCAGTTGCTCTGAATTCCATTAAGAAAAGCGTGTGGAGACGTGAGACCAGCAGAAGTACAGTGCATACTGTAATAAAGAAGACTGCAAAAGCATAAAACTGTAACGGGAAATGGGTAACTTTCCATTTCATTTTCACATAGCGAAGCATGTTGGTCATCCCGCGGTGTTTCTTGTTAAAAGTTGTTCTAGCACTTGCAACTGTCTTCAATTTGAAACATTTTCGTGAAAGTAAAAATATGCAGGTTATTTTATAATCAAAAAATCAGACAAAAGTTACTCCATTTTGGTGGCGTTTTAAATTTAGTTTGGACTGTGATTTTTTCTATTAAGTTATGTCCTATTTTTGTGATTTCAAATATTTATGCATTTACTTTTAAAAATTTATTTTCTGTAAGATAGTTCGGCTGCAGTAAAATCATATGCTGAGTATACTACCGCTACACAAAGTAAGAGGAGAACAACAGCAACCACTACTAGTACGACACCAGAGAAAATTATAATAACTAGCATCGTTGTAACTCGCACGACCAAAGAAATTAAGTCTAGTAACAATATTACAGCTGCTGCAGCTATTACTACTACTGCTAGTGCTATTATCAGAAGGACTACAACAAATGCTGCTATTACGATTGAAACAAAAGCAATGGATACTACTTTTACTACACTTAGTACTATTGAAAAAATTAATGGCATTTTTACTATGACAAAAACTACGAAGGTAATTAATGCATCCACATTAAACGATGAAACAAAATCCGAAGAGACAATTTCAAGAGGTCATCTTGATCTCAAGTTTGAGAATGAAACCTTCAGCGAAACGTGGCCACAATCACACAACTTTACCATAGCTACTCATAAAATTAAGACGAATTTCACAGGTCAAACGTCGAATGCTACAGGTTTGGCGTTAGAATTGAAGACTAATTTCCTTAAATTCTAAAGTTTATTCATTATAGTTTTAATCTAGTTGACAGCGTAATTAGCATAGCTTCTCCTAACCTTATTGTAATCTACTACTTTAAATATTTTTTTTCCGTAGTAATCAAGAAATTAAGTAATTATTCTCATAATTATTATGGCAATCATCGCTAAAATTAATTAATATTTTACACTAGCTTTTTAAATGTTTCACTTTAAAAAAATTAGTAACTAAAGTGTTTAATCTAAAATTCAGTCACTGAAAACCGAGTCACTATATATGTAGCTCATTGCAAGAAAATTAGAAGAAAACGATATAAAAAAATATGTCAGTAAAAACAATCCTGAAATTGATAAAGAGATTGGATATTCAGAAGAAATCGAGTTAGAAGAGAGCGAACAACCGATGGCTACGAAGCAAACAACCAGAGGTAACTAATCTGTCTACCTTTTAAGATATAAATTAATCTTAGAAAATGTGAATTTCTGAAGCTCATTTCTACACTACTTAATCTCCTTGGTAACCTAAGTTAAAATTTATGTTGATAATAACTATAGATATCAAAACAATAATAGTAGTGAAAATACTAATGCTAACTATCAATATTGTTATGATAATAGCATATGATTATTATGTAATCATTATTAGTGTTTTCATACCGTCAGATGTTACCTTACTATGGACCATCTTATGTTCGACAGTATTCATCATGGGTATTCAGATATTGTTGTTTGTATTCACCTGTGGTGATTACACTTTTCGACAGAAAAAACAATGAACGACTAATTTTTATTATAATTAATTTCCACTTTCACACTCGCATTCTATCTTTCCTCTTCAACATAACAACTTCTTTAAATGAGAGATATTTGCAAGAATTTATTGTAAAATTTGTACGACTGTAAACATCACAATATTCCACTTGTGGTTAATTCTAAATACTTTAATTCAGATCTACCGAATATTTGATTCTGACCCATTTTCAACAAAAGAAGTTCAGCTTAAATAAGCATTCCAAGATCATTCCTTGCTAATTCCTTGTTTCTACTTCATTTGCCAAATATTTTGTGTACCAAAGAAAATGAGTGTTTCGCGATTAATTTAATAATTTAAAAGAGTTTCACTGCAAAAAAATCAATAAATCTTATCTACTTCCATTTCCCCATCGAGAATCTCTCAGTGGATATTCACCATTAGATCAATTTTCTCGCGAGAAAACTAGTCCGTTAAGCAAACTTTCAAATGCTCTTGTCCCATGCTAAGTCAGCTTTTCATTTCATTTATTTGTTGAAGACGGGAAATAGTACAACTGTGTAACTCTGAAATTAAAACTCATTCTCTCTCGTCTAGTCAGAAGTTCAGTCTTTTAGTATAGCCCCTGTTTGGTATTTTTACGTGAACATCATCGTCCATCAAAAGTGATTATGTTCTATTTCGTTCAGTCTTTCTCATTACAAGCATTCTTGAGAAAAATTTGTCAAACGTGGAGATCTGGCTAATAACTTATACAAATATAATTCACAACAGTTGCTTGGAATAAATATTCATATTTTTACTTTATTTTCAAATCTAAATAAGTATGAAAACAATAAAAGTAGCGATGGATACATTAGTCACAGAATGCTAGCAACTCAGTCAACAACAAATGTGCCTACGAGCGCTATGAACGTTATTTACCAAACTTGGAAGCTTTTTACTTGACTTTACGAAAGAAGCGGGAACTTCTCTTGCAAAAACATAACCTAAATATTATTTTGAATAATTTTTTGTGGGAAAGGAAACTCGTGAGTGAGAAGAACCTCATTTCATTCATCCTTTTTGGGTCATACTCAGAAATGGTAAAACTTTTAAGAATTCTTCCTGAGTTTCTCATGACAAACAACTTCATTTCGCTTTTCATGCAACGATGCGAAAAATTGACGAGCACCATGAATTTAATCGCAGCTCCATCACAAATAACATTAATTAATTCATGACAGCAGCAAAACTTATGAATTCTAATTCAGACGCTTTTTGCTTCCGAATATGGAATTTTTAAGACGTCGACCCAATCCGATACGTTTATCCGCTGTAGCTAAAACGTAACCGAAATAATTGCAAGTCATAAGATAAAAGTTGTAGCCTGATCTAAGGTCAATGTCTAATCATTAGATGTACTAAAGAACACTTTTTGCGGAAATAAGAATAAACAAATCGAGCTGACCGTGAGAAGGATCGTTGCTGTCTCGCATAAGTTTCTTCCATGGATCATGACTTAAACTGTTACTCTTTGCTAATGGAGCTGGTTTTGTTGGCATCACCTCATTTGCTACCTAAAATGAATGCATGACTTGAAAAGTGTTCTAGCATAAATATATTAGAAGGAAATTTTTGGATAAGAAAAACAATTTATAATAAAAGTAAAGTATATGTTTTTTTGGGAGTGTTAAATTAGTTGAACAATCAGAATCACCTTATTGAGAGAAACGAAGGAAGCAGCACTAGAAGGTTGTTTTGATGCGCTTATTTTGCGTAAAAAATGGTCTAGTCGATTATTCGTTGTTGGCTTACCGCTTGCAGGAGGAGGCAAGCGATGGCTACCGATGGATACATTGTCAAGTTCGCTACCACGTGAATCACGCTTCTCATCGATCTAATGCGAGAAACAAATTTAAAAAAAAAATGATAATAGTGATAAAATAAAAATAAATTTGTTAAAGGAATATGCCAAAAAAAAAAGAAATAATTTGTTGATAAAATAGTATTAAAAGAATTACTAGGATATTATCGTAGAAGCCATCGTCTTCGTCATCAATGCTAGCAGTACGCGAAGACAGCGATAACTTTCCAGGAATAGAACCTCGATGAACAGAAGAACGTGAAGCAGATGAGTGATTGTGATGTGAAGCGTATGACGATGGAAGACCTAAGGAAGAACCAGATGAGTAGTACCCACCTGTTTGCGAGGAATTTGTAGAACCTGTAACATGTAGAAACAGTCTTGTCTATGTGCCAATAACATATATTTGCTTAATTCGTTTTTTGCAAAATTATAAAAAACTGCATATGTAATAAGTAAAAAACTATTAGGTACAAGACAAAAGTTATTTTGCAAAATGAGGTTCCGTAAATTGGTTGAGCACATCAAATTGAATATCAGAAGGTAACCTGGAGGATGAGATGGAGGTCGAGTGACGGGAAATGCAGGAATCGGATCAGTTTGCACCGGTAGTACACGTCGTTGTGAGGGATACGTTGATCGAATATTTGATGTGTGCTTACCCGTTGGCTTGGAATATGAAGGCGAAGGCTGAAAATCATCCTTCATTACGTCATATTTGTTTTATAGACTTATTAAGCTTCTTACCTCTTTAGTGTACGTGATAATATCGTTTATTTCGTGGTAATTTTCATCATCTTTAACAGTTTTAGGGGTAGTGGTAGTCATTTGAGCAATTTTTAGTTTGCTGTTGGAGGCACTACGATGCCATCCTGTCGTATCTACAAAATATGCATAAATTATCGCTAACAGGTAATTTATTATTACCTTTGGATGCAAAAATCAAATTCTTTTCAACGTTTTCTAAAAATAGAATTGAGCTGATCGATGATCAAAGTTTGATTTTTATCCAACTGATTGAACGGAAAAAATAAACGAATCTTAACTTGTAATCAATTAAATTCAAACAATCCTGCTATTTAGAACTTAGACTAATACATTACTAGAACTGAACTTCACATTAATACAAGATATAATCAAGTTAGATTGAGCTTACAGACAAAGGCGATAAGTATATAGTCACAATATGAAGTATATCTGAAGTATACAATATGAAGCATTACATTTTTGACCTATCAAATCAGGAAATGACCAGCAATTTAAGAAAAATTTCGCATCATCAATGAGCTTTTGATGAGAATGATTTGTTGTTACCTATGACTGAAATCTGCTTACTTCACAAGCTTTCCATGCAATGTATCGCTTCTAAAACTTGTTCTACACGGAACAGATTTAAATTTAAGATCGACTGTGATCAGATCGGTCTTGAATATATAACTAACTTTGCTTATTCTCGAATATAGACTGCAAGGCTTCCACTTTACTTGGATTCAGCTTCTCCACATTTATCGTTTCAAATGGCGAAAGTACCGAATTGCTATTACTCGCTACTATCACTGTAAATTAATGTCCTTCAATTTCCTACAATATGCAATACTTTCCCTAACACATTAATAACATGAGAGGAAAAGACTTACAGTCACGTTTATAATTACTTTTCGGTTTGTTTAGTGGAATGATTTCATTTACTACACTTTCTAACATATCAGTCATTTCTCCAAAAGATGCCTTTGCTTTCTGAAGTTGTTGTTGTTGTTGCGTACGACGAGAAACTTTTTCTGACCTGAGAAAATTATGATTCGCAAACTTTAAGCTTAGCAACTGAAGCTTGTTTTATCAATCAGATTTTTTTAATCATAATAATTCTAAATAAATAATGAACATCAAATATACTTTAATCTAGGAGGAAATTGTTCTAACTGTCGATTGCTGATAGGTCTTTCATAGCTACGATCAAATAGATCGTTTCCAGTTGGGAATGAACGTCGCTTATTCGCCATTGACATCTAAGAAAATATTTATGATTCTGAGCACTTAAAAAGAAATAAAATAAAAAGCATTAAACAAGATTCAATGTCCATATAAATTTTTGCTTAGTAACTTAAAAATTAAAAATACAACTTATTATGGAACTTATTATATTTTTAATTTTTAATTGTTATTATTTTATTATTATTATTATATTTTTAACTTATTTAAATTCACTGAGCACTGAAAATGTAAGTGTAAGACCTGATCTGTATTGAGTTCCAATTCTGCAACTAACGCATCTACTGCTAAAATAGGATCCGCTCGATGAAAATCACGAGATCGAATAACAAATGACTGATCAGGCAAACTAACAACAGATCCACGTGTAGATACCATACTGACTGGAGCTTGAATAGGCGTGAATGCTCCAGGTTTTCGTGTAGAAAGTGGCATCTCCATTGATCTGCTTAAGGTATTCACAGAAGGATCCTAGAATGTTTCTTGCTACTATTGCTTCTTATTCATCTCAAAGTTGATTTTAATTGCTTGCATGAGATTTCAAATACTAAAATAGCTATGGTAGTATAGGAATACATTAATTGCTTGCGTACTTGAGAAATAGACTTCAGTGATATTGCATCATTGTCCGCAGGTTTTGTTTCTATCATTAGTCCACTTCGAGATGGCACTCTCTGAATTGCATTTCGACCATAACTGCTACTGCTACTGTTTTTACTAAAAAAAATTGCAAATGTAATCATTATGAATGTACTCAGTGTTTTATACTGCGTAAATAGATCACTTACTATTCATTTATCTTAATATTAAATTCGAAATTGTATTAAAAATATAATATCCAATCCGGACCAAGCATTATTGTGATTCAGTGAGTGCGATGAACCATTAGAATTGAGAGTACTGCTGCCACTTTGGAAGGGAAACATAGCTCGAGCTTTGACAGGTTGAGGTTTGATTGGATCTGATCTCTGAGTAAACTGAGCAGACGTGTTTTTGGAATCCGTTTCATGAGTCTTTGAATGCCTGCAAGCAATTATGACATTATATGAGCATAAATTATTTTAAAATCACTGCTTGACGAGTACTATTAATTTGTAGTAAATGTTATTTTGAGACTAAGACTTTCCAAAATTGTTGCAAGACAAGTAAAAATGAAATAGAATTAATAAGCTACACTATGCTTTGCTCACCTCACAAATTTTGGTGCGCAAGTAACATTCTGAATTGGATCTTGCCCTTCTCGATCTTTTTTCTTCTTCCGAACTGCCAAATTGATTGCTGCTATCTCCGCGGAACAACTTCCCAAAGAACACTCATCGAGGTCAGCTTCCTGCTGTAAATAATAATGCGAGCTTTTTTTAGAACAGTTTAAATTTTTCTGAGATTTCTCTTGTGATAATGTGCTTTCTTGCATTCATATTTGAAACTTTAGAAGAAACTTAAATGCGAATGATTCCAATAAAACTATCGATTCCATATTTTACATACATAATTACAGTTCTGTAAGGATGTTACAAAACGATATTTTCAATCACGAACTTAATTTTTAAATAAAGCGCTTTTTTAATTTAAAAAGATTCCGGACCTTTTTTCAAAATCTGAACTGAATTTCTGAACTATACTCTATAAAAGAATGACAATCTCTTTTTATTACTATGAAATAAAGAAAGTCAAACTTCTAATTTAAAAACAAATTTTAAGAATACAATTAAATAATCTTTGATCAGAAAACAACTTTTATGAATTACAAAAGTTGCGCATAGTTTGAGGAAAGATATCAGTAAGACAATTAATACTTGGAAAAGTATAGAACTATTGTTTGAACTATAAAGAATAGCTTTAATACTTACATCCTCCAATTCACCTAGGACTAAATCTGGTTTCGACTGCATGGAAGAAGCCCATGATTTAATATCATTAGCAAGCCATCTTCTGGTAAAATCAAGCCTTTCACCTCGAAGTTTACGATCATGAGGTAATGGAGGTAATACAATGGTCTCCGAGATGTCAACATCTTCCGTCTTCTTCTCCAATGATGTTGTTTTCTCCCGTGGACTGGGCTAAAAGCAAAATAATTTCCTCTTCAGGAGAATGAATCTCGCAAAGGTTTCTTCTACTCAAATAAGAAGAGGTAAAATATTCTAACAGTATTCAACTATATGAAAAACCTCAGAAGTGCTTTGACTACTTTTATCTTTTGTGGAATAAAATAGCATAGAATTAAATCAAAACTGTTACAGTTTTCATGACTGATTCAAAATTAAAGAACTTACTTTCGGTCTCGCTGGAATCAAGGAATGTCTTGCATAATCTGAAACTTGCTTCGAATTGATCTCGTCCATACCTGAGCCATCTGGCGCTACTACACGTTTGGCATCACTAAAATTTGCTTAATCATTTAAATTATTGAAAAATTTAATTATTTAATTATTTTCAAACTTGGAACAATTTTTATGATGGAAGAGATAATTATAATTTGTTTTCAGAGTATTTGAACGTATTGACTTCCGAAAAATTTTAAGCACATGTTTTTTCAGATAAAAAAATTGAATGGATGAACCAATTTTTTGCTATTTATTTTCGAGACTAAAAATAATAACAGAAGTATCTAAGCTTCACATTTTTAACTTAAAAATTTTTTACGTAAAAATTACTTTACCTAAATCTAGAAAGACTGATATAATGGCAGATTTTGCTTTCATCTCATTTTTTTACAATTCTTAATTTTTTCTCCAACTTAGAAATGAGCACTAACTCATAGTGTTGACGTAACCTTGCGGGAGATACAGCAACAACAGCCAGCTTCTCTTTACCATTATTCGCAAATCCTTTACGTGTCGCCGTCACTCGTCCACGCAAGCTTTGCCCTTCATCCGTCTGCAGTGAACTTGATGTAATACTGTTTTCATAAAATTACTGCATAAATTGAAGATAATGGAAATGATATTTTCCCAACATGTAAATAGCATTAGAAACACATGAGAAAATGATAATCAAAATCAATTTCATCAAATTTTTTAACTAAAAGTTGTTGCCATCAGTTGCAACGTTTGGTAAAAATTAAAAACGTGTCAGCAATTATTTCTTGACCACATTAAAGTTCATTATTATTATTTCTATTATTATTATTATTATTATTACAATTATTATTATCATTATATTATCATTATTATTATTATTATTATTATTATTATTATTATTATTATTGCTGCTATTATTAGATAAATTCGAGAAGAAGAAATGATGCATAACTGCAACTGAATGCGATTGAATAATGAAAATAAAAACCGTATGATCGTTTTCATTCTTGAAATCTTCAAATATTTGATCTAAGTAGTCAATAGCCTCTTTGAACTTATTTCTATGCTGATGGTGCCTATATCGAGCCTGGTCAATCATCTGATCCAATTGACGAGTGGCCGCTTTCAAAGCGCTACTGCAATTGCTAATTAATTTACTTCTTTATTAGTTCTCTTGTAAGCAACTTTGTATGCCTTAGAAATACAATCTAATAATTGTAATTTTAAAACGATATGCAATAAATTTGTATTATTCATTTAATAAGCTGTACGCAAATACTTCTCGCTAAGAAAGCATTTCAAAAGTATGAGAATGTACTGATAAAATTTGATAATAAAGTGATTGATCACGTGAAAACTAATCAAAAATGGACAAAAAAAATTATCAAAAATAATTGTTACGCTGTTTTCGTTTCTATTCTAAATGCAAAATACTTTACTATGAAATGAAAATGGATCCATTTATGCAAAGATCTCTATGCAAGCTTAAGACAAATCGAGCAAAAAAAGACTTTCTTTCTGCAATTATTGAAAAAGTAACTAAACTTTTAGATTTGCTATGTGTGATAAAAGGCATTTTTGCTAAAATAGGAAATGGAATCAAATTTTTTTACATTCAGATTAAGTACCAATACATAAATTATACTTATTAATAGATTAAGTACTGATATATAAATTATACTTAGTAATAGACTGAATACTGATGTATAAATTATACTTATTAATAGATTAAGTACTGATATATAAATAATACTTAGTAATAGATTGAATTCTGATGTATGAATTATACTTATTAATAGATTAAGTACTGATATATAAATAATACTTAGTAATATATTGAATACTGATGTATGAATTATACTTATTAATAGATTAAGTGCTGATATATAAATAATACTTAGTA